TACATCAAGGCAAGACCCTCCATTAGCCAAAAGATGATGACTCGCTGAAAGGTCAGATGATGGTTAGCATTTTTCAGCAATAAAGTATTTTTGGTTAAGGTATGTACGTTGTTTTTGGACCTAATGCAATTACATACTTAATAACGAGGACATAACTTTTATACACACTGGGGATCCAGAAAATTAATTTGACTTTATTGCGATATTCCCTTTGTCGTAACGATCTGGAATTAAATCTGCAAGATCTCTGAGGTATGCCTGTGTAAAAAAAAAAAAAAACCTGCTACATCTATGCTAAGGAATTTAGTTACTATCCTGAAAGCCAGTTTCCCAAACCTTAGTAATTTAAATATTATTTCCACAATATGTGTTAAATCCAAAGCCACCTTATATTATTTTTTCTCTCCCTGTAAACTACTCTTGCTATTATTTGTTTAACATTTTCCTCAAATGTCTTACTTTAAAACATACCTATTTTCAAAAGAAACTTCACATCAGTATTGTAAATATAAAACCAACGTCAGGGGTGCCTGGGTGGATCATTCAGTTAAGTGTCTGCCTTCGGCTCAGGTCATGATCCTAGAGTCCCAGGATCGAGCCCGGCATCGGGCTCCCTGCTCAGTGAGGAGTCTGCTTCTTCTTCTGCCCCTCAGCCTGCTTGTGCTCTCTCTCGCTCGCTCTCTCTTAAATAAATAAATAAAATCTTAAAAAAAAAAACAACGTCACTTGCAGTCAATTCAAGGTCATCATTAAAATGAATGTGATGAAAATAAAACATTCCTGTTAACTCTTTGCTCCTGAAAGTCTCCTAGCCTGAGGCCTGCAGTCTCATTATTTTAAAGGGAGATGGTAAGTTTGGGAGAGGAGTTAAATTCACTGTAGCACCAAACTGAGATTCCTTGAATGAGTTAGGTGGGAGAAAGAGAGTTGAACGGCATATGGCTCCCTTATTCTCTAAGTCAGGAGTATTCAGTATGGTTCCTGTGTGCCATCTTTGATACTGCAGGGATATGCATGCTACATAGGGGGAAATGTCATAGGCCATACAGGGCCACCTGAGGATTCTGAGCTAAGAAGTGACAAAATCAGACCTATGTGAAGAGGGATAACTCAGGACTAGAAAAGAAGACCAGAGAAGTAGCTAGAACTTTGTAGAGGATATGCAAGGGTTCCCATGTGGTCCAGTTAGTATAATAAGGCTGGAAAAGAGGGACCAGATTTGAGAAAAATTTTCGATCAGGCCACAGCAGGAGTTGGTGCCCGGAGGGATGAGAGATGCAGGTCAAGGAAAGAGAAGGGCCAGCGATGCTCCGCAGGGAGATTGCTTGGGAAACTGCATGAGTGGTCATCTGACCCAGGCCAAGATTACAAAGAAGAGATAGTAGAGCATGTGTGCTTGATGAGTAGGAGAAAGGGAGGGAGCAAGTAAGGGAAGGGAGGGGTAAGACCCCTGCTTTGGAACATGCTGCCTGTGACGAATATGCACCCATTCTAGGCTCACATTAAATGTTTGTTGAAGATACGGGCTAAGTGTGGATGGTCAGCGGGCCACTGGAAACCACCTTGCTGGAGTTCAGAGACATTTCCAATGACAGTTAGATTGGAAGAGATCACCGTGGCCTATAAGTCGGCCTCAAAAACACTTGCATTTACTTCATGACCATTTCAGAAAATTTGTGACATAATCAGGTAGACAGTTTTAAGGTATACTAGACATGTTTTACTTTCGTAAGCTGTTAAAAATGAATCCATTCAACAAAAAAATCATTAAGAACCTATTTATATAAAGCAATTTGCTAAGTGCTGTGAGGGATAGAGAGATAAATTAGACACAGACCCTGTTCTCATAGAGCTTGTAAAGATCTAATAAGATAATAGATAAGATTTTCAGGGATTTAAAGCTTAACGTATGAGGCCTTTATTCATGATTTCCAGAAAACAAATTTAGCCTCAAAATCTCTCTATTAACCATAGTCTGAACTTTGTTTTCTTGTGTTATTAGAAATTGATGATGGTGTTGGGGTAGAACAACAATATAAATGAAATTTGGGGTAGACTTATAGAATTGGAAGTTAAAACCTTGTCAATGTAGCCCTTTTTCTTATGTTGTGCTTAAAATGTTCATTTTCCCAGCTTAGGAGAAATAATCTAAAGTTTTGTCTTATGTGTAGCATAAAATTGCCCTTCCCCCTCAGATGAGTATATGTAGTAATAAATTGGAGCATTCTCATGAGACTCTCTTGAATAATCAATTTCACATAACTGGGATTTTTTTTTTCCTGGTCAACAAGACACAGACTAGAAAGCATAGATTTCACTCTGAGCCTAAAAAAAGAGTGAGGTTTGAAGAAGAGGAAGGACAACAAGACTAATGTTGATGCCCCTTCTTTAGTTTCTAGACCCTTCTGTGGAAAGAAGTGTTTTCATAAGACTCAGACAGAATTCATTTCCACAGAGCATTCTTAATGGCTCTTGTCAGTAAAAACAGCTGGGAAACATATGGTATCCATTTCCCTGTATCACTTGGAAAAAATTTCACATGTAAATAAAGCCAACATAAAAGAGTAGCCCTTTGAACCCGCGACCTTATACAATACATAAATATATAGGTACAATGCACTCGTTGTATTGGTCCACTAAGTTATGTGACTTTAAATTTTTTTTATTACATCCTGAGATGCACATTTTCAAGAAGTTCCAAAGGAATCAAGGTAATTGGCAAAATATTAGCAAATACCATCCCTAATAATAAATATGTATCTCTGAAATGTCATGGAGTATACACACACACACACACACACACACACACACACACGTTGGCCACTGTATTTTAAGCTTTTCAGAAAAATTGATGGATAAAATTAAAGGCATATTTACACATTATAAACTTTACATCCGCTATCTCTCTGCTGTTTTAAATAAGTAACCATGTGTTCTTGAAAGGAAGAGAGGAAAGCTTGGCAGAAATTTCTGGCAGACAATTTTTCATAGCTTCACATTTTTAGGGGAAAAATAGACTTATAAAGGATAGGAAATCTTTTAAATTTATAATGGACCAACTGGAATTAGTCTTTGCCTTTGCATATTTACATTTCATAAATAACTTTAGAAAATCCAGCTCTCATTGGTGATTATCACTCCTCTGAGTTTATTAACAGGACTTTTGTCCCCTGTGATATTAAGCTGTAAATCCCTCAGAAGGATGCGCTTTGGGCATTTACAAGGAGATTTAATGCATTGCACAAAGTGAGATTCAAATTCAAATACTAGCATTTGTTAATTGTCTGCTCTGTGCCAAGTACTGTGTACAGTTTAGAACCAGAGCCAACGAAAGGGAAGAGAGGCAGCAGCTTAACAGCATCTAGATACCTTCCTTCCCTTCTGGAACATTCTTGTTAATACCTGTTCCTTACTGGGTGGAATCCAGGCCTCCCTTCACGGCTCATAGTATTCTCTTCATAGATTTTAAAGGTCTTGGAACTAGACCACTTAGTGCAGACCGTCTGAAAAAGCCCATGGCAAACTGTGGTCTCTTTGGGGGGAAAGACCCCACCCACCAGCAGTTACATAGCATTCAGTCTCAGAATGGTTACTCTCACCTCCTTAGCTCGCTTCCAGAACTTCTCTGAATCTTTTTAGAACACATTGCAATAGGAACAAGATTGACCAGTGATCTAAATTTGGGGAACTTTTAATAACTTTCACCCCTAAAAGTAGTGGTAGCCAGGGACTGTCCTAGAAGTTACAGACCTGAATATACCCCATCTCTTTTATTCTTTGGTCGTGTCCAGTAGCAAAGAATGGACACAAGCACATGCTTTTAGATTAAATTCTTCCTAACTGTTGTTGTTCCAGAAGAGGAGAGTGGGATGGGAGGCCCCTAGATGGAGGGCATGTCCTGAAACCTTCCCCCTTTGAAGGGGGATGGTATAAATGTAATTGGAAAGGGAAGAGTCCATACACCAGTGGCCTACAAGTTTCCAAAGGTGCCGGGTCATCTGTCTAGTCAGGGGAGTATCCCAGAGAGGAAGCAGGGTCATCATGAGGGAGGAGACTGTGGTCCGTCATCCTGCACCAGGAGAAGGCACAGGGTTGCCTTCCATGAGGCTAACGGGGAGAGATGGTGTTCTTATCTTTAACCTCCAGATGCATTGCTGTTTCACTGTACACTTGGTCTCTACCAGACACTCACTCAAAGGCAAACCAGACAATCTTTATCTAAGCTTTGCAGAGAAAGGAGAAGAAAGAAAAAAGCCCACCAACCTGTGCATCTCACTCTCCCTTTGCAACTCCTTCTCCTCCTGGCTGCTCCCAGCTTTGCCAACATTGGAGGGCCTCCTTGACTCTTACAACATGTTCCGTTGTGAAGTGTTAATACATGATGTTGCTGTGTCATATGCCAGAGAGCACTGGGAAATGCCCCTGAGTGATGCTTCACTGGGATACCCATCTGTGGTGGACAGTCACCCAATGGGTCACAAGTTTCAGTTTGCCCAATATTAAATAATTTACCCATTTTTTATGTGGGACTTCTTAAGCTTTAGGGGTATACATATATGTATGTATGCATGTGCGCATGCGCGTGTGTGTGTGTACATCCCTTCTCTCCCCAAACTACTTTGGAAGTTCATTTAACCCAGAGGATCTGACCTCCCATTTCTGTTTTTCAAGGTGGTGACAAGTATCCTAATCCTTCCAAAGAGGAATAGCCATCCAGGGAATGAACCTAAAAATCTGTCTGGATCTGTTTGTTTGTTTTAGCTGTCTGCTTTTCCATGAATACTATTTTAATTAATTTTGAGCCAATAGGCCATAACTTTTATCCCTCAGTTTTCCAGTGGTAAGTATGAACTGTTTGGTATGATACACGTCTCTCTAAGTCATCCCTCAGACAGGAGCTTTCTTTGAGCATAACGTAAGTGGACTACACCTGCCTGCGTGGCCAAGATACCTTCGGCGTTTCAGTGTAATACTCTCCTCTTGTATTTATTTCTAAACAGTTTCTAGCTCGAGCTGGAATTGCAACGTGTCGGCTCTCATGACAAACACGCAAAAGCCCACAGGAATCGCGGATGTGTACAGTAAGTTCCGTCCTGTGAAGCGAGTTTCCCCGCTGAAACATCAGCCAGAGACTCTGGAGAACAATGAAAGCGATGACCAGAAGAACCAGAAGGTGGAGTACCAGAAAGGGGGTGATTCCGACCCAGGCCCCCAACCCGAGGAGCTCAGCCCTGGAGATGGAGACAGTGGTCCCCAAAGTAAGAGCACCGAGCCCAGCACCTTGCTGGGGGAGCTGGAGCATTATGACCTTGACATGGATGAGATTCTGGATGTGCCTTACATTAAATCCAGTCAACAGCTTGCCTCTTTCACCAAGGTGACTCCAGAGAAGAGAATTTTAGGTTTGTGCACCACCATCAATGGCCTTTCTGGCAAAGCCTGCTCCCCCGGAAGTGCTGAGAGCTCACCAGCCAACATGACACCGTTCTGTGTTCTTTCGCCCGTGAAAAGCCCTCACTTGAGAAAAGCGTCCTCGGCCGTTCACGAGCAGCAAAAGCTCTCCGGGGAAGAGTCTGAGAGCTCACCGCCTCTGGTGAAGTGTGGCTCTGCATATGAGCCCGAGACCCAGACTAAGGACTTCCTCATCAAGACCTTTAATGATCCTCCGAGTCGAAAACGCGAGAAGGCAACGCCAGACGGCCAGCTCAGGGCCTTCCATCCTCAGCCTGCAGCCACAGAACCCAAACTAGAAGAGCCGATCGGGGGCGTGAACTGGACCAGCACCCAAGGCCCAGAAGAAAGGAGTGAGTACCTGAAAAAAGTGAAAAGCATCTTGAACATCGTTAAGGAAGGACAGATATCTCTCCTGGTAAGTATGATCTCATTCCATCATCTAGAGACTTCAGTTCTATCAGCTCCATTAGGAGTAACAGAATGATGAGCGTTTCTTCCTATTCTTGCTTCATCTTTACTCATAGCCTGAGTTAGATGATGTGCCTCTTGAATTTTAAAATACAAAATTAGGAGTCAGTACAGGGAGAAAACAAACGGCTATAGAGGGAGTGTTATTCCACTTGAACTGTGCACGAATCTGTGCACGAATCTGACCATAATCTAAAACAAAAACAAAACAAAGTCCAGCCCTTGCTTTAATGTGAATCTGAATGTCTTTCTTTTCCCTGTTCAAATGGATCCCAGGGCTCTCACTTGGTTACTTGTGGGGATGTTGGTCCCTTGGTGGTGGGCCTGCCAGATACATGAACAGAGGGTCTTCTGTTTTATCCTGATCATTATTCAGAAGACTTGGACCAGGAAGTTGGAAAACATTTGCAGATAGAAGCTTACCCTAGAGCTTGGTTGCCCTCTGACCTCCATGGAGTTTTTACCGAGTTCCAGCGCTTCGTGTCTAGGGAACATGAAGAAGCTTTCCAAAGATTTGAGTCACAGAGTTAACATGATGTAAGAAAAGTCTGTTCTGCTTAGGCTCAGAGAGAGCTCAACTGAAATCACACTCCATCTGCCTGCATTGTTCTTTTCTGGCTTGCAGACTTGGATCAAACAGTAGCAAGCCTGGGCTGGTACTATGACGTTAATTAAAGTCTCACTTGAGAAAGCATCACAGCTTGGCAGTGTGATTCCACTTAGGGTAAAGCCATGCAGAGATAAGTACAGTGTGCCTGGTCTATTGTTGTCTGACTGTTGTCATAGGATGATAGGATTGAACACTTTTACTAAAAAAGTAATATTTTTTTTTCTCCTGAAAATAGCTTTTCTATTTCTCCTGGCTCTTCCTCTCTTTTTCTCTCTGGTTTATTCTTTTCTCCTGTCCATCCCATGTTTTCATATTTCCCAGATGGTAACACCTCTTGACTCACCCAACAGTCTCTATCAACCATGTCATATGCAGGGAACTAAGCTTCACTAGAGGTGAGAACACTAAAGGCCAGGTATAGCCTCCAGGTGCCCCAGGACTCTGTTTGGGGTGCAAGTGTCTGGAAAAATCCTGTGGTAGCTCTAGATGTGGCAGCCATCAGATAGCTTGCAATCAAAGCCAGTTCTCTGTCGTTCAAGGCAAACCAGATGGTGGAGAGAAGTAGTTCTTTCATTCAGCAAACCTACAACAGAGGATAAAACACAGTCTGGCTGTCAGCACTTAGCAGTCGAATGGAGGAGACAGAGAGGGAACCTGCCAATTACCATAACTGTCATTGCAGTTGTTTAGAAAACCATCTTGGCGTCTCCGCAAGCTCACTGACCGAGCCCGGTCACCATGTCTCCCATGAAGATAAGTCCCTTGAGGACTCAGGTTCTAAAGGATAGGATAGCAAAAACTGTAATGGAAAGTCATTAGCATTAATAGTAGGGAATTTCTGACTTACTAGATCCCCAGGATGGCCACCAGAGCTCCTGGAAACTCATCTCTTCTTCCCAGGGCCCACATCGAAACCCCCGTAGCATCTCATTCTGATTCTTGACTTAAGTGTTCTAATCTTACTGTCTATACAGCCACACCTCGCTGCCGACAACCTAGACAAAATTCACGACGAAAATGGCAACAATCTCTTACATGTGGCTGCATCGCAGGGACACGCTGAATGTCTGCAGCACCTCACCTCTTTGATGGGAGAAGATTGCCTCAGTGAGCGGAACATAGAGAAGTTGACTCCAGCGGGCCTGGCCATCAAGGTGATGATGGGTTGGGGGCTGGACCCGCCACCGCTAAAAGTTTCTGTTTTTGAAGATTCCTATTGAGCTAAGTTGGAGAGATGAGTACAGGAAGAGAGTAGCATGATACACCAAGCAAATGGCAAATGAGCCTACTACATTTAAGAGAGTAATCATTTCAGGTACTAACTGCTTTGAGCTTTGGCGACTACATTCCAATTTATTGTGCAACGAGGGTAAACTTCAAGTCAGCTAATAAAGAGGAAGGAAAATGATCTATTGTGGTTCTCAGAACTTTCGTTATTCATGGTGACTGCAATTTAGATTTTAACCACACCTGGATTTATCTGCGACTGTTTCATGTTTTCCTAATGGGAGTATAATGAGCGAGACAAATGAGGAAAAGGTGTATTTTAAGGAAAGATAGCTCTCAGGAGTATTTCAGATAATAAAGCAGGCTTCTAACAGATCACATCTGAAGTGTAAATGTCTTCGGTACCAAGAGTTGTTTAGAATGTCAGGGCCTAGTTTTGAGTGTAGTGTCAACTGGGATAGAGTTAAAACTTAGAAATTGTGAGTCAAGGAAACGTGGTCTTTTATAGCTCACTGCAGTGAGTGCCTCTGTAAAACATAACACATCGCTAGAAGGTTAGCTATTAAACTACAATTACTTTTAAGATCTTTCGCAAATAAGTGTAGAATTCAGTCATATTTATGAAGAAGCCAGAAGCGAAGTTCAGGGAAATATAATACATCTTGTGCTTCTGCATATGTGCTCTGCTTTACATAATAGTTATGTCTTCTAAAAGCTGAATAATCATTTTTAGAAATGGAATTATTTTTGAAATTTACTAGGGGAACTTGCTAGTTAAAGAGATCCACTTGTGTATTCACTGAAGAACATGTTACATTTGAAAAACGAGTGATTGCTGGCCTACCTTAATATATCTTTTATGCAAATCTGAATTTTTGCATCTTTAATTTATTTACCATTCAGTGAACTTTTTTTAAAGATTTTATTTACTTATTTGAGAGAGAGAGAGAGACAGAGCATGAGTGGGGGAGGGGCAGGGAAGAGGGAGAAGCAAATTCCCCGATGAGCAGGGAACCCGAATGGGAGCTCGATCCCAGGACCCTGAGATCATGACCTGAGGTGAAGGCAGACACTTAACCAACTGAGCCACCCAGGTGCCCTACCATTTAGTGAAGTTTTATGTATTAAAAGTTGTTTTTTGTTTTATTTAATTTTATTCAATGATAGTGTATTATTTCTAAGGTAGTATAGAAAATGATTTTTTTTTTTTAGAAAATAAGAGATCCAGGACCCTGATAGATATTGCTTTCCTTTAGTGAATGTTGCTATGTCACATTAGGCACTGAACTGCAAACATCCATCATGAAGAGAAATTAGATGGGAAGTCAAGGTGCAGTATAGTTGAGTTCAACAATGTGTACCAAGTCCACCAGGTACTGTGTTGGGTGATGACAATACAAATTTGAATGAGACCTAGTCCCTTTTCCTCAGAAGCTGATAGCCAGGTAGATAGGGCAGGTAAGTTACCAGTAATTCAAGTGCAGGATGGCAAATTCAGGATCTAGTCCTATATCAGAGTCCTGTGGGAAGACAGGGGTCAGATCTGGTCATCAATGGGTGTGGGTCAGTGATGAATAAAATATTCTTGCAATGCCAATAAATGTTGACATTAGCCTTGTTCTTTTAGTGTTTATAAAATACAGTGCTCATTAGCTTTCCTAACTGATGTTAAATTATGGAGTATATCATAGCCACATAGTTGGATGAGAAAGCTTTTTCTTCATTTATATACCTTAGTGCTTGTTTTCATGGATTAAGAATCTTCAGAGTAGGACAGTACATAAGAAACTTGGTGGTCATTAGACCAACCCTGGCTATAAATTCCTTCTATGGTATCCATATTGGTAATTCATTCTTAAACTCCTCCAGTCAATGCACTGCTATCATATAATCAGCATGTAACCTTGAACTGCAGTGGTTTTTGTTTCTTTGTTTTAATGAAGAACGCATATCAGACCCACTAGACTCAAAAGCTCTTATGGATTTGGGGGTCTCAGACCTTTCATATTTTTACTGCTGGACAATGATATGAGAAATGGAACTCTTCTTCTATTTCTTCATTTAATCTAGAATTTACAAAAGAAGTCAAAACAAATATTTTATAGTAAGTGCCACCCCCTTTGGGAATCTGGCCTCAGTCCATTCAGTGTCATTTGATAGACATTGGTGAAGTTGAGGGAGTTCTACTAAGTCATCATTCTTCTGTTTTAGGACCTTGTTTTGAACACCAGCGACCAACTGATAGTGTCTCACCTCATTAAGCATAGTTCTGAGAGCCCTGCTGTCATTAAAGACAACAAACTTGGTTCAAACGAGCAGAAGTCGCTGAGAGAATGTGACTCGGCTGACAGGAAGCAGAGTCAGAGATATGGTATCAAATAAAAAGATAACCTCAGAAAAGGGGCTTTGAAGGCTTAAGAACACCTCTTCCCTACCCTTAAACTCCTTAAATGGAACATAATAAATTCTTACCAGTTACATGCAGAATTTATTGAGAGTTTTCTGGGCAACCCAACACTAGATACTGTGGTAGTTCAGGACATTACTGAGTGCCCTTTGGGAACAGTTAAGCAAAATAACTGAAAAGAAAGATTTCTATACGGTGAGAGCAGTGTGTTTCTAAAAGGGGGCCAACACAATACATTGTTTTAGGAGTTAAGCAGACTTGGAGAGAAATAACCTTAATTTCTTTTTTATTTCTCATGCAGTCCTTCTGATTAAGCTCAAAGATAACACATTTGTCTGATGAGAAAATGACTTCAAAGAAATAACCTACTGACGTTCCTTTTTAACATCCAGTATGAGTGATCCCAGTTTCAGAGACTCCAGCAGGCAAAAATCTCCTGCTGAAATGTAATAACATTTTTTTGTTTTCTTGGTATTTCTATTTATGGCAAGCAATGTTGTGTTCAAGATCATAGTAGCAATATATTTCCTTCCGCCTTTATAGCAGCATTTTATTATTTAATACATTTATTCAAACGTTACCTTCTTGAATAACTAGACCTAACAGATATCTAACAGAACATTCTACCCAACAAAAGCAGAATACATGTTCTCCCCAAATACAGATGGAACATTCTCCAGAATAGACCATATGTTGGGCCACAGAACAGGTCTCAATAAATATGAAAGGAATGAAATCATACAAAGTATGTCCTTTAACCATAAGGAAATGCAATTAGGAATCAAAACAGAAGGAAATTAGGGATACTCACAAGTATCTGGAATTAACACACACCAAAATAATCATTTATCAAAGAAGAAATTACAAGGGAAACTGGAAAATAAAATGCATTCTATTATCATTTAAGGATGCAGCTAAAGCAATGCAGAGAGGGAAATTTATAGCCATAAATGACAGTATTAAAAAAAAAGAAAAGGAGAGGCACCTGGGTGGCTCATGTCAGTTAAGCATCTGCTTTTGGCTCAGGTCATGATCCCAGGATCCTGGGATAGAGCCCCACGTTGGGCTCCCTGCTCAGCAAGGAGTCTGCTTTCCTCTCTCCCACTACCCCTTCCCCATGCTTGTGTGCTCTCTCTCTCAAATAAATAGATAAAATCTTTTTTTTAAAAAAAAGGGAAAAAGAAAGATCTAAAATTAATAGCTTAATCTTCTACCTTAATAAACTTGAAAAAGAATAGCACACTACGTTCAAAGCAAGCAGAAGAGAAGAAATTTAAAAATTCAAGCAGAAATAAATGCAATAGAGAACAGAAAAAAGAAATAAAGTCAACAAAACCAAATCTGGTTGTATGAAAAGATTAAAGAAATTAGTAAACTTTTAGTTAGACCAAGAAAAAAAGAGACAAGACTCAAATCATTAAAATCAGAAATGTTGCCTCTTCTCTGTGTTCTGTGTAAATGCCAGTTGATATGAACTATCTTCCCTAGTAGGTGCTCACTATGGTTCCTATTCCTTTTTTTATTCAGAGGGAATAAAGCACATAGTATCAGTGGCTTTATTTTAATCTTGGTAGAAAACAGTTGGCATGCTCAAATTATGCAATTTGAAGAACGTCTATAATGAAGGATTCATGTACAAAAGGGTGATGGGTGGGGTGTAGGGAGCCCAAGAAGAAAAGTACAGTATCCTGGGGTAAGAGCAGAGTGCTGTTACCACCTGAGAGCCTGAAGGGGTTGGGGAGAGGCACAAGCTAGAGATGGTCGAATGGAAGAACTGGCTGATTTTTGACCTTTGACTGGTGGAGGGACACAGCAGCCAACGGCAACCCCATGGGAATTGGGAAAGCCAGGAAAAGAGTGGACCTCAAACTCATTCTCCTTTCCTGGTGTCCTGCCAACGCTCTCCATCAGCCAAACCCAGGGGGCAAGGGAGCCAGCCCATACAGACCTACCTCCCCTGGCAGCAATGACTGCAGAGGAAGGAGGAGACAGATCTGAAGTGGCACCTGGAAGCTATTCACCACCCACCTGATCTGGCTAGATTCCCCCAGTGGAAAGATAGTCTCTGCCTGTGAGCAGTTGAGAGTTGACTACTTGAAATTCCACTATCCAAATAGGTGTAGATGGAAAAGGAGTAGACTACCCCTTCTATCTTGTGTCTAGAATAAGCTTCCCGGACTCCATGGCATGGTAGCTCTTTTCTCTTGGGCTAAGGCCCCACACTGGGCAAACCAGGAAGGCAGCTGAATGTCTCATTTGTGTTATAGAGGAGCTGGGAGAGTGCACTACTAGTAAAAGGTAACAAGTGTTGGGTGCTGAGTAAGCTCAGATGCTTTGTCTCATCTGCTGCTCATGAGGCAGTTAGTGCTATCCCTGCCATTTCACAGATGAGAAAACTGAGTATCAGAGAGGGAAGCAACTTGTTCAAGGTCTTGTAACTAAGTAGTGGATTGAGGATTTAAATCCGTTCCAAAGTCTGGGTCCTAATGACTGGGTTATACGTTTCACAGCTGCCTTCCTGGTTTGTACAGTGTGGGATCTCAGCACAGGAGGAAAAAGCCAGTGTAGAGATGGAGTCACCAAAGGCTTCAGGGAACGTAGCATTTGAACCAATAGAATAATGAGGTTATTTTCTCTCTCTTTATTTTGGAATCCTACCATTTCAAATTCTCAAGGGTAAAAGCCTATTCTAAGAGCTAATGAATAAATAAATGTTGGTATATTCATACAATGGAATACTTGTCATCAGTAAAAAAGAACAAACCTTTCATACAAGCAGAAGCTTGGATGAATCTCAGAGGCATGAATGCCGAGGGACAAAGGTGAGACCCAAAAGACTCCGTACTCTATCCTGTTGTGATAGAAATCCTATCAGTGGTTGCCTGGGGCAAAGGTGAAGACCTCTGGAGACCAGAGGAATCGTAAAGATTTGGGGGAAAGGGGGGAATGGAAATGTTCTCTATCTTGATGGGAGCGGTAGTTACAAGAGAGTATATATTTGTCAAAATTCATCAAACTATATGCTTAAAAAGGGTAGAGTATATTTTATAGTATGCAAATTATACCTCAGTAAAGTCATTTTAAACTAACTGATTACAATTATGAAAATGCATTTCAGTAAAAACTCCCCATCTGATTTTGAGCCAAAAGCACAGACCAGAGACAAAATAGGTGATAGACTGCAAATAAATGAAGCCAAATGACAAGAACCAAAATTCACGTGATTTCTTCCCTTGGCAAAATTACCATCTATGAGGTATTTTTCAAACTTGAGTGACCTTGAATTTCTTTCTTTCTTCTTTTTTCCAATCTAGAATGGTCAGTTGGAGTGTGTCCGTTGGATGGTGAGTGAAACCGAAGCCATCGCAGAGCTGAGTTGTTCTAAGGATTTCCCAAGCCTTATTCATTATGCGGGTTGCTTTGGCCAGGTAGGAAGAATTTTTAATGATCAGGTTTATAAGCCATCATTTCCTTGTAGTAATTTTTAATGAAAAGCATGTTTAAACAACCTAAATATTCCCTAATAAGATATTGGCTAAATAACGAAACTATATACCTATAATGGAATTTTATGGGAAAACATGGTCATTATATAATATTAAAATGTATGATACAGAACCATTCATATTAATTTGGTACCAACTTTGAATTCTGGAGAGAAAAGAAGAGAAGTAGGTAATAAGACTCGGGAAAAAAAAAAAACTGTGTCACAACATGTTCATAGGAGTTATCACTCAGGGTGGACTTAGAAGTGGCTTTTATCTTCCTTATATTTTTCAGTATTTTCCAAATTTTCTACAATAAATGCGTTTAACTTTTGTCAAAAGGGAAAGTGATAAACTTTCTTGTACCCAGCATTAAAAGGAAAATCTTCAGTAAGATTTTCTTCAGTAAGATTAAGTAAAATCTTATTTAATTAATTAAGTTAATTAAATTAAACTAAAATTAATTCAGTAAAATCTTCAGTAAGATTAATTAAGGAAGTCTCTCTCTATTAAAGATGAGCAAACACACTAACTGGATGAGTCTCAGTTACAACAGGTTCCTACATTAGGAAATCCCTGTGTGAGTAATTGATGTACAAAGATCACAGTCCAGGGTATGGAGTAAAAAAAATCCTCAGTAACTCCCTTTGAGAAGGATAAGTATAAATTACATATTTTTTTTAAGTTGGAACCACAAAATGCCAATCTCAGTCTTAAAAATAAATAAATAAAGTCAGCACTGTATTAAAATAGATTTAATCATATTTGTTTGTGGCAAAGAAAATTGCTTCTCATGCATATAACCATATCCCCTTTGGCTTCATAAACTTTCCCAGTGGCAGTAAATTGTGGTATTGTCAACAAGAGATTATGCTTTTTCGAGCATGACAATCTCAAGTTCAAAAAATACCCGTGGAGAGTATTACTACAGTCTTTCTTTAGTGGGAGTCCATGTTAGGTGATAGCTTATTTTGTGCCCTGGTAACTTCGGTTTATATATATATTAATATGTAATATGTATTAATATTATATTCATGTGTAATATATGTATAATATGTAATATGTTACATTAATGTGTGATATTAATATATAATATAATTACATATTAATTATAGTTACCATGTTATTATATTAATAATTATAGTCATATTAATATGTAATATTTCCTTTATGTGCCAGGCACCAGGCCATTGGATTTTGCGTACATTCCTTATTCCTTAGAACAACCTGTTGGATCCTATTGACTTATTCCTTAGAACAACCCTGTTGGATCCTATTACCCATTCTGTAGATGAGAGTGAAGAAAGAAATTTAAGTGACTTACACATGTTCCAGTGCCTAGTAAGGAACGATTGTGTCTCAGCTCAGACCCTGTGACTTCAGGATCAGATCCTGTCTTGTGTCCGCCTGTGTGTGTAGATAATTGTATAGCGTGTTTATAGCAGCATTGATCTAGCCGAGGAAGACTTTTTTTTTTTTACAATTTTAGCTAACAACACACTGTGATACACAGCTCATTGAAGAAGGGAGTATCTGGTACTAAATTTATTAGATGAAGAAAGGAGCAGGAAGAACATTTAAAATTTGTCAAAGCCACCGTCTTTGAAATAATCACTCCGTTTTCTCTGTGTACTGTCCTTGAGAGCCCCAGCCACGGTTTCCTACCAACAACCATAATAGTTAATAAGCATTTGCAAAGGATGCCCTTTTTTTGCTTACACTGGCAAAGGGGAGAATAGAATTTTTGAATGACCAGAAGAATGTCATCACTGATAATCTTCACAAATCACTTGCAGTCTAAAACAGAATGTTATTTATTCCCGAACTGTCTGAATAATTGTCTCATGTCCCTGGCTTCATTTTGCTTATCCTTATTCCTCACGAGGAATTTTCGATACCAATGGAAAGGCTAACTGCACTTTTGGTAGAGCTTGCCGAAGAAAAGGAGGAGAGGATTGCGTTGCCCTTCTGAGCCTCTAAGGAAACAGTTGGGCCCCCGGGCCTTCTTTGTCTCGGGAAATGCTGCTTAAAGTGTGCCAGTTTCTCTGTTCAGCTCTCACAGTGGGTTTCTCATAATTGTGAAGCATTGGGACAGAACCAGAGCAAAGTGCCCTTTCTGGAACTGGTTGGGTGATGGCGTGGCTTGCTTGACAGGACTCGAGGAAAACCCTGAAACGGGTGACCTAGTCGAAGAGCCATGTCAGGCATTTGCCTCATGCCAGTTATCAGTCTCCAGGTTGTTATTTCAAGCTGACAAGCATTGTTAATGACCTCGAGGCCAGCTGTGAGCAGGGCCAGCCCAGCGGCGCCCGTAGGAGAGCATTCCTACCCAAGTGGAAAGCGTAGAAGCCCTTCCAAACTGTGAATTCTCTTCTGCCCAGCCATCCTGCATCGGCTGCAGGCACTTACGTAACAGATAACCTGTGGCGATGCTGAACTTGGAACCAGGACAAGGCTAATATTTTCACAAGGAAGACTGTTACTGAACAGTTTCTAATGGATTCAGCACATGCAAGTTTTCCCTCCATCAGGCAGGCACTCGAGTGTGCTCTGGTTTTGTTTCTTGAGTAAATACCTCTGGAAAGGATAGTGCCGAGCAAAAGTCCTCTCTCGGTTTATTTTCGTTGCCCTCTGCCCCTATATAGATTCTTAAAGAACGTGCTTTCTTTGACTCCCAATTTGTGTCCCTTTCCTTGTAAAAATTACCTTAAAGACTCCGGTACCACAGGGCAGCCCGCAGTTTTTAGTGGTCTCCTGGAGTGATACCTCTTCGGGTGATAGGAATTGATTTTCCTCATCGTGACACGTGAAGTCTCAGAGGGTGCAATTACTTCATGGCCTGAGTGTCCCGAGCAGAGCTCACCGCAGGGAGCGCCAAGGCGAGAGCCATGGGGGGGACTCAGGCATAAAGCAGGGATGTCCTCCAGTCGGCCCTCTTTGCTGGCCCATGAAAGAGATGTTGCTGGCCCAACAATGGAGACAGACTTGTCTGCGGTCAGAGCCACCAGCGGTGGGACCCGGGCTGTTGTCTTTCAACACGAGGGTTCTGACGGTCTCGTCCCTGCTCCCAGCAAAGCTGTCGGCCTCAGCTGCTCAGGGGGGCTTCGGCCTGTTCCACGCTGGACATCAGTTCAGTGGGCTCTGTGTTACTTTCAGCATCAAACCTGCTGATCATTTTGCTCCCGAATCTTCCCTGTGACTCTGAGTAAGGAGATCCTGCTACAGAAACAACCTCCATCGTAGCATTTGGCATATACCAAGAACACCTTTGGCTGTACTGTGTGCATTCTCCCATTTTAAATGTTTGCCCTAATACAGATCCAAAAAAAAAAAAAAACAAAAACAAAAAACAAAAAGGCGGGGGGGCGGGGGGGGCGGACACTTTTTGAAAAAAAGGAAAGACTCAGCAGTTCCTACAAATGGTCACGAACACTGACAGGCAGCCTAGCAAGAGGGATACTTCCTTCCACAGGCTGTGTGTTACTGTTTTTCCACGATTCAAAAGGCAGAATATTCTGTTGACTTCACTGTTTCACCGTCATGGGGTAGAAATAAGCAAACAACCCGGAAAGTGCTGCGATTGCAGATGAAAGCAAAATAGAAAAATCTTTGATTAGCTTGGGCATCCATCTGCTCTCCGAGGACAGCTCTTTCAAAAGGCCTAAACGACACTGAGCTCCGCGAACCCACACACTGAGGGGCTGTTAACCATGCTTTCTGGGACCCAAGGGTTGTCACCGTGCAAAATGAGCGTGTCCATTACAGAATCACGGGTCGCAGGTCAGTGAGCGGTTGCGGACATTCATACTCAGTAGACGGAAAGGAGAGACCTGGAGAATGTGGACTC